TACTTTTACATCTGAATATTTTCATTCAATAAATACCAGCATACTTAATACAAGATTAACAAAAGTTGAAAATGGAATATAAATAATTGTTTTTTGTCCTTATTTTCACTATTTTTTTAGATTCATAACTTACCTAAAATTATTTTTTCTTAACTCACATCTCTTGTGATTTAACACCAGTAATACTTCAATGAAAAATTCTACTATGGTTTCCAGTCTTGGTATCAAGCATTCCTGTTAAATGATCAGTTGACATTTACTTCATACATAACAAGGCTTTTGTAAATGAAGTAGCATGATACGTGTTTTTCACAAGACCCACTCAACAAATAACATTGTGAATAGCTAAATTGCTTCATTCACACACAGTATTTGGAGAAGTGGGGGTGGGTGGCTAATGAGTTGATATGAACAAAAGGAAACTGATAATTAGCCTGAGTTCCCTTCTAAGAAATCCTCCAAGCATGAAGTAATATTTTTAGTGGTACAATCATTGCAACTGATTTGTTCATAAAACATTTGAAACTGTGACTATTAAATTTAGATTCTAATTCATTCTTTTTCTACAAGGCACCAACATTCTGCATCATGCTATACTGGCAGGGTCACTATGATTGGTAACAAATAAAATAAGAACAAGCAATGCATGGCACAGTCCCTGTTAGTTATCAAATTTAAGATATATAATTTTGTTTATAGTAATATAGTTGGAACACAAACATGTCAGAAGTATGAATCCAGAAGATGATGCTTGATTATGACGATTTTTTAACATTAAAATGATTGACATCTTGTATCTGATCGTCAAATGAGTACTTGTCCATATTGAGAAATATTGCTCTGGAACAGCTTTAATTAAAACAAAATGGCCACTAGTTGGCCATTTCGAATACATCAACATATCTATAACATCAAAATCAGGGAATTGAAGATATCATCACAAAATGAACAAATATAAAAATATATAAAATTTGAACATAAGTCAGTCAAAGCATATCAGAGATATGGCTCAAGAAGCACATTCATTTATAAAAAAATGGCTGCTAGTCAGCCATTTTAAATCCGATCTCAAATGACGTGCATCAGGAACCCATAATCTCTAATGTATGTACCAAGTTTGAAGAAAATCCATCTATAAACGACAATATCCAGTTCTGGAATGCCAAAAATTCTTGATTTTTGATGATATTTTAGCACAAAAATGGCTGCCATTTAACCATTTTGAATCAGATAGTCAAACCAATATATCTATGTCATGATGTATAATGAATATATAAAATTTGAACATAATCAGTCGGCCATTATAAATCTGATCTGACAAATAAAATGATGTGCATCAAGGTCCCATAATTCCCAACATGTGTACCAAGTTTGAACAAAATCCATCCATAAAAGCTTGATTTTAATGATTTTTAGCACAAAAATGGCCACCATTCGGCCATCTTGAATCAGATTGATGTGCAAATGTTTGATTGTGATTGGTCCAGTCATGTCTAAGATACAGGTGCGGATACATGCACGCAAGAACGCACAGACACACAGATGCACAAAGGTCAATCCATAAGTCCTCGTTTTTCGTCCAAACGGGGACTAATAACAAGTATTGTTCACTTTGAATGCAGTGCAAGAGGTAAAGGTGTCACTGAGTGTTGCCTAGATAAAGTGGCTTTGTATTTCTTGTTTTTCTAGTCTCAGTATGCAATAAGGAGTAAGAATAATCAATATATATGACATCATGAATTCAGTTTCATAAAAAATAAGGAAGTTGAAAAAGAGATCGAGCCAGGAAAGCATATTTTTTGTATTCATGAATTTTGACATAATCTAAAGTCCAGTTTACTGGCAATTCATGAGGTAATTAACCAAGCAACACTTGCATTGCCTTACAAGTTTTTTAAGTGTACATATATGATAAAATACATTAATTACTTGCTAGTTTTAAATTTTCCTATTTTTGCTAAAATTCACTTATAATCAATTCCACATGAACATGTAGAATTACAATATAACTCATTGTTCGTCTGCCAAGTTGGTGAAATTGCTAAAAAGGTCAAAAAAGTGAAACTAAATGCCAGTGAAAATAAATGGTTTTACAGTAATTGCCAAGATGAATCAAACATCACTTGAAAAAAAAATCATGGTATTTCAGGCAACTAGTTATCCGTCACCACAGTTAGTTGCCTATGGTAATCTTTGACAGTTGTGTTGAAATTGAAATTGTAAATTGAAATATTAAACTTACAAATGAATTAGAATGTGATTCACTTGCCATGCTTACAATTGAAACCATTGAGCTTCCAGACAGAGTTCTATGAAATGAAAAAAAACAATAAACATTGGGACCAACATAAGATAAAACGTAGTTGAACTCTGGTGACCTTGCCCTTTGTTACATAATATTATTCACTTTATCATAGTTTGTTTCAATATGAATATGCATTGTCATAATTGATTTTCAATACAAACAAGTTTTGTGGTTGAAACAACAGTGGAAAGCAGTTTACCGAATGTCCTTGATAGATGTAAATATCTTACAAAAACATTGATGCCTAATTTGTTTAATTATTTTAAGGACATAATTTCCTGCTTTATTC